TCGCAGGCACACCACGTTCTAGCAGGGGGACCGGTGACTGACGCGGTGCCCTGTCCAAGAAATGAAATTAGTCGCGCTGTCTTTTCCATGAACACCCCTTCTTGTTTCAGACACCCTAAGGCATAAACCACTGACCCACTGATCGGCGTTGGCCTTGTCAGCGGAAGAAGGAAAACCTTCACGGAAAAGGCAGAGGGACTAATATATTCTCAGCACCAGGCAGAGTTCACCATAGCAAACGCCGGCAGGAAACGGCAGTGTTGTCATGCCAAATGCGATGCCGTTGACGCTAATTGATGCCATCGCAGTTACGTCATATTATCGCAATCACTGTGTTGGCGCCGCTCAGTGTCAAAACGGCATTGCACCTGGCATCCTGTGAATGAGTGTCCAAAGGGGCTTGATGCCATGCACAGCGTCTGCATGGGCGGAAGAGAGGGGTGCGCGGTCATGAATAACTCAACTAGAGTTGCTCCCAATCTTTAAAGGGGGGTGGCGGCTCCTATTAGGAGCCGCTTTATAGCTTCATTTTCAGGAATTTTGGTGCTGACTATGCGGGCGAAGTCTCATGTGTCCAGCTCCGGCGAAAGGAATGCATGAGGTAGCCGCCAGCCCTAACCACGCTCGTGTTAATTTGCCAAGCTTGGCATTAAGGCGTCAGAGGCCCTGCGCAAGCCCGGTGGTTTCCTGTTCTTCGCGAATTCGAGGAAATACTGCTGCAAAGTTATCGGTAAAGTGCGGGTGCATTATCGATTCCATGGACGGAAATATTGGCGCAGGGAATGTGTGGCCGTGTGCTACTTAGGCAAACAATGAGAAAACAGACATGCCCAGACGGCAACGAGGAACTTGCAGCTATAACCAATTCGTTCATTTTCATGAGTTCACAACGGGATCCACGTTCCACGTCCACCTATGCAAAACAACATTGTTGATTCAGGCCAACTTGCAGACAGCATACAAAGGAACTCCGTGCGCCGCCGCAAACTCTCCAGCTCATAGGATGCCTGAGCCAAGGAATGCGCCTCCGCTGGGACCAGCTGTGAAGTTTCCCGCCGTTTCAGGCTGCGCACCAGCGCTCCCGCTGCTGACAGCACTACTCCTATCCAGCAGGGGGTCAAGTTCCTTCAACATCTCCAACGACAGTGCTCCCAACATGTGGCTCCACGACTCCAGGCAAGTACAAGGCAGGCGGAGGTGGCTATCGCTCCGCTGCCGACGCGTGGTGATCTTTGAAGATATGCCCCGCGAAGAAGGCCAAACTGGAGCGAGCGAGCAAGACTGACTCCATGCCGTTCGAGTTGGGGCTGCCGCCCAATAAATGTCGCTGAAGCACCTGGGTCCCTGACGGGCGTGCCAGAGCCTCCAAGCCGGAATAGATTGCTGGCTCGGGGGTGTTGCTGACTTCACAATAGATGCAAGTATCACATTACAAGCATGTTAAACACTGATGGCCGATACCAAACGTCCGCAAAACGTTTGAAGCAACCCAGTGGATTCTAAATGCTGTTTCTCTCACGTGGTGTGTTCCCATTTAATAGTCATCGCGGATGCCCACATATATTTTGATGGATACTTGTATTTGATGGCGTTCTTCGATGTCTTGGGCCAAGTGCCAACAATCGCCACCGGCTTAAGATCGGACCCCCTTTTAAACTTGTGCAGCATGAAATACCCCAGCAGCTGTTTGCCCAACTTTCCGTCCGTCTCAAGTTGATATGCAGCGAATAAAAACGGCGACGTGTCCCGAAAACTGGCTGCCAGGAGCGTGCACCCACTCATCACAGCATGTCCACATTCCACCCCGCCCACGGAACAACTGCCGATTCGCACATTCAACCAACTCCGCAATATAATTCTCCCGCCTTCCGGCGGCTCAATAGCGCCCAAACTCCCAATCAAATAATTTGGCACCTTGAGGGCAGATATCCGCTGCCCATCCTCTAACTCAATTCCACGCATTTCTTCACCCCGCGCATATGCAATACCTGACCAACAGCCTGAGCTTCGCGATCGTACTGGTGTTTGGATTGAAATGAATGTTTTTCGCTCTCAAGGCCAGATCGACTCCTTTCAGCATCTCCACAGCCAGTGCCCCGAGGAGATACACAAACACCCCCAGCAGGCTGGAAATCAGCAGCGCCGACATGGCAACCCTCGCAGGGCCATCAATGTCCGGGTCGTTCAGCACGGTGCCCGAGAAAAACGCGAAGGCAGAGCCTGCGAGGGACAGGGCCTCCATTCGGTGCAAATTGGGACCATCCGAGACGTAGGGGCGGGCCACCTCGTTGGCTCCGATGGCAACGAGGACCACCCCCAGAGACAGGGTGGCCTGAAGGCTCTGCGCCATAAACAGGCTGTTGGCGGTGAGAGCCGCCAGGAAGCCCTTCCGCGTCATGACGATGATCTCCCAGTACTGGCACTCGCGCCGGTACGACTGGTACACGAACATGTAGGGCACTTGTGCGGACCCGGGATCGTCCTCCTGGTCGTGAATGCCCTTTGCGCACACGTGAATCATCAGGAGCAAGAAAGGCATCCCGAATGACACGCATAAAAGGAGGGGCGCCGCCATTCCCGCAACGAGGTAGAGGTGGTCGCCCTTGTAGCATTCGAGGCTCGTGTCCTCGACCCAGTAGGTCAGGACCGCCGTGGAGTCGGCGCTCATGTCGCCCTGAACTTCTTCGTCCACTTGGATGCAGTCCAGGATGCGCAGGGCATCTTTCGTGATGCTCATGTAAGAGACGTAGAAGGCGGCGAGTATGGACAGGCGCCAGCACCCCATGATGTCCGACCACCTCCAGGATTTCAGGCACCCCAGCAGATAGGAAAAGAAGACCAACACACAGGTTGCCGCGAAGGGGAGGGTGGCATCGTAGATCGCGCGGAGCACGGAGCGTGGGACAGAGCCTTCCGCAGAAAAGATGCACTCCAGCGAAAACAATGCACCACTTCCTGCACCGAGATGATCTGGCAACAGACGACTCTGTCGTTAAATTGAGCAGCAATGCTGTCGAAGCGCATTCGAATGTAACATGCTCACTTGTCGATGCTTTCCAAGTAGGAAACCTGATCTGCATCTTTGAGGAAACCAGGTGAGGAGGGTTTTGCACTTGTTTCGTTTGCGAAAATGAGATTAACAGAATTGCGGAGTATCGAAGACTTTTGCAATGAGCAAAATAACTCGAATTTCATCAATTCACTGCACGACTACACTGGCCGAGCAGAATTTGCGCTTTCGAATCCTTTCGGCATCGCCAATCCTCATCAACGTCAGTCAATCAGTCTCGATTTCGCTGCTCAGCGCTGCGGCTCTGAAAGTAACACAATCGTTTCCGTGTAAAACTGGAAAGAGAGAAGACGACTGGTTGACAGAAGAGACACTAGCAGTTGTAGCCAACGCCAGGATTGCTTCGCGCTTCATAGTCATTATCAAACCTTTAAGCGCTGCATCGGAGACAGCGACAAAGTGTATCCCGCGCTGCTTCCTAGAGAAGCGAAGAAGCTCAGCTGAGCGAGGTCATCGTCATTGCGCTTAGCATATAATGCACGCAACAGAATCTACTGATCTTGTTGCACACCCATCGTACACAGCATTTGTAATTTACCATCTCAAAAACGCAAAGCCGACATTCTACAAACTCGCACTGCATGAGCAGTATTGCCTTCTTCGGCACCCTGCGTAGGTGCGGCCACAATGTCACGAACCACATCTCTGCTTGCGACAGGGAGGACCACAGGCTGAGGTGTCACAACATCGACTATCGGATGTTGCATGACATAAAAGCATTGATTATTGCCAGCTTGAGCAAATATGGTGCCCGCTCGAGAACGGCCAGTCACAGCCACCTCACCTGCCACTCCCAGAGTGATCAATATTGATTCTGTCCAATCAACGTGTATGAAGGCTGCGATGCCAGTAACTTGAAGAAAGTTGATGAGAATCTAGCGCATCAGCAGAATCCGCGATTCAGTGAGCAATATGCAATAGACAAAAATGCCCCAATTTGCAGTACGAGGCCGTTGCGGCTGGCAAGCGCTACCACTAGCATATTGGAGATACATTCGCCAGTTCAGACCACCGAACACATCATCCAGGTGCGCTACAGAAACCGCAGCTCACATTCAAATGCCGCAGTGTAAACCTCCACTACAATAGCTTTCGATTCAGGCACAGGGGTGCTTACCATTGCAAATTAATCGCGATGTGCACAGCGGACCTTCGCAGAGCATTGCAAATCTATTTCGCATGCGTTCGATATATGTTGCTTTGTGTGTGCATTTAGCAGATTGGTCGCATTGCAAAGTGGTGGATGCAACGCATTAATCTGAGATTTAAATCTTTCGTATGCGCCGTCTCTCGTCAATGCGATCTGGCGGTGAATATCAACGCAGCTCGCTGCCGCAGTATTTGAGCCATCTTGAATTGATGTAAGTCGCGTATTTGCAATCCACAGCGCGTTGCAATGCCACAAAATTGTGTCACCCAATTTCATGTCCCATACATGCTGTCTTTGCGAATGGGACCGTCTATCTGATACGCAGCATGCCGCGAGGCAATGTGGCTCAAGTGGGCACTCATGCGCCACCGCAGGACATACTCATACCTAACAAAGATTGTGTGGGATGTTTACACATTGGTTAACATTTACATTTTCCTGGAAGGCTGCCGCTATCAGTCTTCCAGGCATTTGCCAGCACCATTTTCTTGCCACTCAGTCCCTGCACCTGGAGAAGGCTCGCATCTGATTAAAAATCGGCGGCATGAATTCCGGTTGAGATTGCACCAGAAAGATGTCGTCACGACAGATTTTTGGGACTCAGGCCCCAACTCAAGACGAGTTAGGTTTCGAGTACACACTGTTTTCCCAGTCCAGCACAAATTAACAAAGCGGAAAGCACACGAAACGGCCATTTCGATATGGAGACGCGCCAACAGACCAGGCGGAAACAAGCATGAACGCGCCTAGAGTGTCTCTTGCACACTTTCTAGATCGCACCTTTAAGACGTCAGTTGTGTAGCATCTGCTTTCGGTCGAGGGGTCATCGAGATGGCGAATGGAAAACTGGCTCCCCGCTCCAGCGCTCGGGGCTCGAAGCACCGCACAGCGACTCGGGTACCGCTGCTTGCTCGCCCTAGAAACAGGCGTGGGGGATCTAGGAGACGATCCCCTGGCTGCCTCGAGGAATTCCAGCGTGTGGCTGGCCATGTAGCTCGGATTGTCCGTCGCGCGAACGGTTGGGACGGATTCCGGGCTGGAGGGCTTGGACACCGGCATGGCGTTCGTGAACACCATGTAGACTAACAGAACGAACCAGGCGGCCGTGAAGAACGCCAGCGTGATGCTCTTGGCCCAGCCGCCGCAGTCTACGCACTCCCCGGAGCCCGTCTTGCCGCGGGAACGCTCGCACTCGGCGCACAGCACCCCGGCGTGACCCTGGAGTGGACGGTAGGAGCTTGTCAACTTCACAATAGCGGCCAGGAATGCGCTGATCGAAGGTGCGTGGGGCAAAGAGTCTGAAGGAAAGGCGGTTTGCGACGCGCAAACAGGAAGCGCGCTGTGAGTGTCTGTATGAACCAATGCATGGATAAACACACAAATCGACAAGAGTCATCGGCACTGAGTGGTCTTATCAATTTTTCTAATGAGTTCATCGACTTGACAGAATTCGTCCATTTAAAGGAAAAATTGATCGAGGCGGACTCAGGGCAACGTTACAAAATAGTACTTCCTCCGTCCAAGAATAATTGTCCTCTATGATTATGGGGCAGGACTTCTCCATCGCAATTACATCAGTTTTCAATGAAATTTCGCTCAAAGTTGTGCTTGTAAAGTTTGGAGCATACTATCAAAGTTTCAAGTCAACTCACTAAGTATTGAGGATTCGGCAGTTCTTTGTACCAGTGGCCTTTTACCTAGTGAACCTCGGTATTTGGGGTCAAAAATGACCAAAATTTACTTTTCCCCTAATGCTCAAAGGGCTCGTGTCTAATTTCCTATAATTGAAAATTGGTAGTTAAGGGTTTTGCGACCTAATTTTTATGTTTCTGGAACTTGTTTTCAATTTTGAGGTAGTCTTTGTAACGAATTCTCTCTTTTAAATAGAGTACAATTAATCTTGGACAGAGGAAGTAATTTGCAAAACTGGTGCACAATGGTTCGGAAAATCCAAGTACCCTGCTTGACACTGAACCTGCCCCCAGAAGCGGTCATGTACTGTCTTCCGTTCCGGAAAAGCACACTTGTTTTTTTGGCCCCAATCGCATCTCAGAGTTGTGTCCGATTGCGAAGCGTGCATCAAATGACCCACCTGAGAGCACTGCCTGTACTCCTCTGCATCCAGGCGCCTGCCCTCCAAATGTGCCTCCCTCGCCTGGTCCACCAGCACGCCGTCCCTGCCCGCAAACTTGCACGCCTTGGGCCAAATGCACGGGTGGATCTGGCGCGATTTGGAAGTCGAGTGCCAGTAGCCGTCGTTTGGCGTGACGGTTGCGGCCGTGCACTGCGCGTCTGCTGGGCAAATCGAGCACCACTGCGCGGGCGAGAAGCTGTAAGTTCCGTGCGTGCAAGGAGAGCACAGGGTGCCTTGTGCGTCTGCCACCTCTCCCGGCAAGCATTCCCTGACCTGCACGCGAAAGACGAGCGGCGGCAGGTCGTCTGGGTCGAAGCGCAGCAGCACGTCATACACGGTGTCCACCCTGCTGCGAAGGCGCACGTCGGTGAAGTCTGTCCTCACTCCGGCGTTGGCGACGAGTTGACCGGACAGGGACACCTCCTCGGAGTCGGCCAAAACGAGAATGCGCATGTCCCGTTGAGCGATGGCGGGATTGCCAAACGCGTCAAGCAGCTCGACGGCGAAGGGCTCCAGGTCCTGGCCGCTTGTGTGATTCCTCAGCAGAAACTTGTCGCTTCCGGAACCTTCGGCGATGCAGCTTCCCGACTCAACTCCACAGATTCTGGCGGCAACGGCGGGGGTGGCAGCCGCACCCCCCTCCGCGATGGCTCCAGCAGTGTTTCGAACCCATGTGTCTGCGCAGGGATTTGATCTCTTCATGCCGTTACTCTCCGAGGCGACGATTGCTCCATGTTCATGTTCGGAGGCCACAGATTGGAGGTACTGGAGGGTCTGGGTGGATTCGCAGTGCACGTCCACGTGGCGTGGGCTGTTTGTGAAGAGCGCGCCTCCCGTCTGAGCTGCAGAGTTGTTGACGAACTCAGACTGCACCAGGGCGATGCGATGGGATGGTGCCCTGCTGGGCAGTCTTTGCGTGGTCCCGGAAGAGGGCTGCTGTTCGAAGAAATATAGCCCGCCTGCAGATGCAGATTTCAAACACTGATATTATATTCAGCCAGGTATGTTTTACTTTTCCTCTTCGCCCCTTTAGAAATATCCACATTTGCAAATAAAGCTAAGAAATTGTGAACACATGTTTAACATTGAATTTACAATCACCATGCGTATGATATGTTCAATAGACATTAAACCTTGCTCTGTGCGACCCGTTCGCATTTCGTTTCTTCTTTGCCGTCTAAATTTGAGTTTCGTGTGCAGTAATGATGTTTACGCTGCTCATTCAAGTGTTTTCCAGCCTGATTTGCTTTTAATTGTTCGCATTCTACAATTAGATGCAAGAAATTGTTGCAGATCTGCCGGCTACTTTGAATGCAATCCCGGAAACGCCTGGCTTGCAAATGACTCAGAGTTTACAATCTGAAAATTAGACTCGATGTTAAAAAAACAAAAAAAAATAAATCGATTGGGAGCTCGCGGGCAAGGAGCACCAAACAAACGCTTCTTTTCATATTTCTCTCTAACCATGTGCCTTGCGGCGCGCCGTACATAACACCAATCTGTCAGTATTTCTAAGTCCGCCACATGTCCATCGATGATGAATCCAGAATACAATAAACATACTTTGCAGGGAGGAAGTGCTTTTGAAGCACCACCGTAGCAAGTGGTCTGGATACTGCCCGGCCCCATTGAATTTCCCCGCGCGCCACCTTGCGCACGGCTACTCCACCACAAGGACGATAGATGATGCAACTGACCTCCGACCTTGGCGTCATTTTTCTTCAGAGTGCATTGGTTCAGCAGGCCAGCGATGTTGGACTTGAACGCATTATCCGCAGACAATCGAATGTGAAGCCCGCCGCCACCCCCCGATGCAGAGTTATCCTTTATTGTCGATGCCAGAAGGTCCAACAACGAATCGTCGGCGTAAACGGCGCCGCCAGCACCGGCTTTATTTGACTTCATGGACACATTCATCGCGCGAAAAGCAGACTGTTCCCACATCGAAACCGCGCCTCCCATGCCGGCATCTTCCTGTGTCGCTGAATTTCTTGTAAAAGTGCAGTTCAGACATCCAAAGCGGGCTCTTTGCACATGGCATGCCCCGCCATATTTGCCCGCCCTGTTTTTGGAAAATCTGGATTCTGCAAAAAAAATGTCGCTGTCGTTTTCATCTTCTACTAAAAGCGTAGAAAGAGACAGGCTATCGGCATACAGCCCTCCAGCAGGCCGATCAACAGGCTCAACCCCAACCTTAAGGTACACCGCGCCACCACTTACTCTTGCCCCGTTTTCTTGGAACAAGACCTGCGTGCCGCTCACGCGACCGGCTGCCTGGATGATGGCTCCAGCGTCCGAGTGGCCATAGATCCAGGCGTAAATGGCACCACCATCTCGACCTGTGTTTTGCAGGAATTGCGAAGATTCCAAAGACACTGTTGTTCCGCTTAGGAAGGAGATGGCGCCGCCATTGTGCGCCTCATTTTGGGAGAAGCTTGTGGAGGTCAATTTGCACGACGTCATCCCCTTTTCTTCAAATGCAAGGCCTGGTAGTTCGGCTGACCGAGATGACCCGAGGAACAATGCTCCTCCCCAGGTGCTCCCTCTCCCGGGGTTGACCTCAGGGGCGTTGCTGGTGCCCAACACCGCCATATTGCCACTGAAAGTGCTGTCGCGAATCTCGACCGTAGACACTGCGATACTCTCAACCGGATTCTGTAATGTCGTGACAGTATCAATCGGTTTAGAGGGGTGTCTTTCTTTTACACCTTGCGCAAATAGATGTACACCAAAATAAAAAGAGCTGCTCTCGTTGGTTCGCCTGCACCAATGCTGCAAATAAAACAACAACGGCCAGCGCTCGCTGGCAGCAAAGCGCTGCCATGGGCGGGTGGCCTACAGAGATAAGGAAGAGGGCATTTGACTCATTTCGGCGTTTCGGATCCCTGGACATTCCGAGTCGATTACCGCGTCGAAGCGCAACTATGGACTGCGAAGACTCCAAAGTAAATGTGAGGCGAAGCTACCGAAGCGATGCGTACAAGTGGTTTCAATTTGACGGCCTCCTCCTGGAAATACTCACAAGCTCGTCTGTTTTCGAGAAAGAAATATCGCACTCTTGAAATGAAAACAGCAAAGCAAGCCCGACATTCTTGACCACGAAATCGGAACCAAGAATTTCCTGCAGCCCATGTATTGCGCGACCCACCGGGATAGACATTGCTCCTCCTCGACTGTGCGTGGTGCTGGCCGCAACGTTGCTTTCGAAGACGCACTCATCCACACGGATGGTGACCTTCTCCTGCGACGCAATTTCGAGCGGCACTGTCTCAGAAACCTGCCGGTACATCTCGCAATCTAAACGCGCCACACTTAGGAGAAAACTCCTCTTGGTTTGCACTGCCGCTGCAGCAAAAAAAGTAAAAAAATAAATTAAAAAAAAAGCAATGCAAGTGGAATCTTCCGAGGGCATGGGCCGGTACATGCACGGCACGCTGTCCTACAATGTGGCAATGCAGCGTAACTCAGGCCTCCAGAAAAATGGAACAAGATTGCGAAAAGATGACTGATGTACTTAAATTGATTCCGAATTTTAATCCAAAACAAGAGAAACGGCGGAAAAAGGATGCCCGAATTCACCTAAGTCGGGTTTCGGTTATGGCCAAGAGAAGCGCAGCAACCAGGAATTGCTCGTCGGCTTCTTCCGGAAGCACGCTTTCTTTTGCGAACACAGTAGTAAAAAGCGGGCCAGATGACACAGACTCAACACGGTCTGCTCAAAATCCAACTCTGCGCTTTCGGAAATGTGGTTCCCAAACCACACATCTAGTACACACATTGACGCAATATTAATACAGTTTCGACCGTGTAACCTGGGAAACCATGCAGTCTACAGTGTTTCTTGCACGGCGAGGACCTAATGATGTGGGCAGTGGATCTAAAATAGATCGCAGGCACTCACCGACGACGAAATGGCGCCTCCAGCTGAAGAAGCAAAATTTTGACTGAACACGCACTCAGTTGCAGCGAGTGTGCAATTAATCTGTACCGCACATATGCCCGACAGCCTCAGCGGATCTTCAATAAGCTCAATGGATTAATCCAATCCCCACAGCAACACGAGGGAAGCGTGTTAAATCAGCCTGCGTGACATTAGCGTTCATTATTTTGTAAGGCTCACCAAGGATCCCTCCTTTCACTCTGAACCAAGGCGCCATTTCCAAGGTGAGTGCGTACAATTTGTTGCTGCTCCCTTCCCAACGGTGAAGCGAAATTCCGTGTATTCCATGTGGGAGGAACCATATTGTTATTTATTCCATGCAGCAGTGGGAAACGCGCACCGATGATCATATTGCCCAAGTACTGTGAGTTTCAAATATGTGGCACTCATTCTTCTAGACACCCACCTTTGCGAATATGGCTCCTCCTGAATCAGCCCGGTTGTTTTCCAAGCTGCTATATTCCAGGTCGGTAATCGCGTCAGTCTGCAGTAGAATCGAGAAATGTTAAGTACATAGGAACGGACTTATTTGAATGCAGTCACTAGGAAAGCACTGGTAACAACGCCAGAAAGAACAGTAATTTTGAGATACCAGCTGCAACGCCATTTGACACTAATCATGTTCTCCAACATGGCGCGACAGATGCGATGGCATTTGGAATTGGAAATTGCCACCATCTGCTGGTACGAGCTGCTGGTCGTTGTCTTGCACAAGTGCGCAAGTAACATTTCAATAAGAGTCCCATTTTTGCCTGTCAAATGAGTCATGCGAGCTGATTGCGGCCCCGATCTGTTTCGAGGAACTGGAGCTTATCTTGAACAGAAGATCCGAAGGCATAAACCTGAACACAACGTGTACGCATTCGCACCATACAGAAACGATTCATCTAGGTACATCCTTTCAACGATGGTCGTGGCACGCAACACCAGCAAGGGAACGTTTCAACGTCAATTTTGAATCCACGCTTTAACTTCTGTGCCATGGACCCACGCACTTGTGCAAGAATAGCCCCACCAAACGAGGCGCTATTGTTGTTTAAGGTGCAATGCCACAGCTGAGCCATGCTGTTGATCTGCAAAAACAGGAGCAAAAAATCAGCAAAACGCTTTTCCGTAAAATCGTTTTGGCACTGCCGCAACCACTTCTACACCAGTCAAATGGACATAGCATTGTTCCACAACATTCGTTTTTGCGCATGCAATGGAGAAACATACGTGCCTTGCTGGCAATCGACGGTGGGCGAGGACTGAATGCTTGCAGATTCGTGCTCTGTAATTTCCATATTCCAGAATGCTTTGGAAATCTGGCCAACCCACGACTTCGCGTCATCCGGATACGCACCTGCGCAAGAATAGCACCCCCAAGGGTTGCGCTGTTGTTCGTGAAGGAGCAGTCGCCAGCCACCACAGTCGCCCCCTCCTGGCGGCAAGCAGTTCTCATTTAGACCTAATTGCCATCCAATCTTCAACAAATCGCTTAGATACACGACTCGCGAAATTTCAGTGGAGGTCGTTGACTTGCCAAAGCTCAATCTTCAGATTGCATAAAATTGCAAATATTGCGCAGATTGGAATCACTAATTGTGTCTGATTCCTTACACCAATCGGCACTGAGCGCATGACATCATGTGAGCGTCGACTGTTAGTTGCGGAGCACATTTGAAAGGCGCATAAACTTGCCAGCGATAGGCAACATATTATGTATAATCATGAATAGCAAGCAAAACTACCCCTGTCATGAAACATATCCTGGTTTTGCCTCGGAGCGGGCGGCATGCCAGCACACATCTCCATGCGCGCAGAGTGCCATGCGAATACGGCCAAATGGCCAAACCTGTCCTCCGCAGAATGAAGTGGGACGGAGCAACGCGTTGTAAACGTGCCTTGATGCCCGACTTTTGTTATTACACTCCAAAGCCCCTGCTACCTCTCTGCCGCGAACGCGCTCATCAAATAAGTCGGCGAAAGAAGCAGTATGGAAGTGCCTCCTCGCAAAAGTCGCAAATCCACCTAGAGCGAGGGATTTAGGTGCCGCTGTGTGTGTCGAGAAAACGAGGTGCTCTTTGATTCACGCCATCATATGATGTGCGCACGGCATCCCATCCCTATTGCAAGCAAACGGCGTCATACACGCATACACATGGCGGCACTGCTCTTTGCATTAGGAGTGCAAACCGGGTCGATAAGGATATTGGAGTTCCACATAACATAAATGGAATACACCCAGGACGTCACTCTATCTCCTACTGCGGCAATGCGGCGTCCTACCTCTGCATCAATTGCTCCGCCAAAGGGTGCATGGTTAGAAGCGAGGCTGCAGTTGTACAGAGCCACCCTGGTGCTCTCCTGCATCAATCAATGGCACTGTCATTGCTTGCTCGTAAGCGCTCTTGGAATAAATGTAAGGCACTTCTCCTGCGTCGTTAGAGCGGCAAGGGGCAATGCTACATCGAGGTCTCTTGATTCACAACATTTGACTATTCGCAACCCAGCACCTCGAGCACGTCAGGAATTCACTGCAACAAGGAAGAAATGCCGCCCAATGCCTTCACTCTTATTTCCTAGAGCTAGCGATCCGTAGCTTAACTCATAGTGCGTAATCTGAAAAGCAAATGATGATATCCGATTTGCTCGCTTGCCTTCGTCGGAAACACCTGAGACATTGGAAGAATGGACACCATAAAATGCGAAGCGCCTGGGCCAGTACCATACAGTCGTCTCCAGGCAGGCCATTACCGTCATATGCGGGCCTGGGAGTTCCACATTTTTAAGGGCGGCTAAAGCAAAGAATTCGACGTGCATTCAAATCGTTGCCCTCGGAAACGCCGAGGGCTCGCGCCCCTGAAAGGAAAGGATTGGACGAAGAAAATTTCAATAGTGCAGGCCTTCGAGCCGTGGCATCCATGCCAGATACAGCTGCAGTGAGCGACGTCCCGGAGACACAAAAGTTCAAGGAACGTCTTAAACTCGGCTTAATAGGAGGTATAGAAGCAGGAGATTTAATTGCTCCAACAATCCCGTC